GAAAAAGACTTTGAACAAAAGGGGCATATTAAGTTGGTAAATGAATCAAAATTTTTACATTCTTGATTTTTACACCTAACTTTAATTGCCCTATGAAAATGAGATTTTTTGTTACTTGAACTACAAATTTTGACATCAGTTGATGATTTCACATAATTATTACAACTAGAACAATACAGTTTTGCTTTTCGAGGGTCAACCCTGTGTGAAAACAATATTTTCGCTTGTGGAATTTTCATTTATTTTTTTTTCCAAAATTTTGCCGATATTTTAAAAATAGATTGTAAAGTGTTCATATCACCACTGCCAGAGAAAAGTAGAAAAACAACAACAAAAAAATATCAGTAAGTTAACATCAATATTCGACTCACTTTCGACCAGACATGCCAGCAAGATCACAACCAACCCCTTCAAATCAATATACCTCACCAAGATCAGCATCTGATCAAGAAGAATCTGATCAAGAATCAACTCAAAACAAACAAACTTCACAAGGTACACCACAAAAGAAAGTATCAAAGAGTAAGTATTCTATCTAATTATTACCAGTGTGATAATTCTTATTGACAGAAAGAACAAAAAGAATTATACCAAACCTTTCCGATACAAAATTTGCAAGTTTAAATCATACTAGATTAAAAAAGGTTTGGCAAACCAAACATAAAGTGTAAGTTATTCGTATAATTATTAAATTAAATACAGAATAGGTTTTCCAAAGGTATTATTCAAGGTTTTTACAAATATGTACAAAAACAAGGTTCGGATTTTGTACTAGATATTTTAAAGAAGGAAGAATTGTTAGTGTCATCACTTTGTAAAATTATTTTCAGAAACTTTGGAAGCAAGAAGTGAAGAAGAGCTTACTGAAAGAGAGGAAGAAGATTTGAAAGAAATTGTATGTTAATTTTATTTATTTTTAATTAATTTTAATTATTTTTCAAATATTTTAGGGTTTGCATTATTGTTCAAACATTTTAAGTAAAAAACTTTCTAATTTATCTCAAGGTGTTAGAGTTGCAAAATATGATGATCCTCCTATTTCTGAACACAGTGAAGATGAACTAACGGATGAACAATCTAAGAAACCAACTAAAAGGTTTGAATCTTATACTAAGGATGAAAATGGAAAGTTTTCAACTGAAGTTTGTTTTCGTGGATCTACTGAAGAATTTATTACAGAATTTCAAAGGCATATCAGAAACAAATCAAGTGCTAATTGTAACAGAAGAATTAATAGACGAAATAACATTAAACCAATAAATTTAGATTAATTACATTTATTTTAAATTTTTAAAAATTTAACATTCCAAAATTGGATTCACCAAATATAGCATTAACTAATGTTGTTTCTCTTTGTATTTCTTTTCTCGAGTCTGTACTTGTTTCTTATGACATTACTCTATTTGTTTCTTTTACAATTTCTCTTCATGTGCTTATTAATGTTTCTTTTACAGTTTAGTTTTAGACACACAAAAGAGGTGCGGTCAAGGTACGACAAAGGAACGTTAAAAATAACACAAAAAGACCGTGCCTATTCTGCATCTTCTACGTTACTATTGCTCTCCAAGGATACAAGACAATCTCCTATTGTTAAGATGTCTGCACCTCCCAGTTTAACCTCTGAATTCATTTAACAACTTGGTCTCAACAAGCAGAATGATCTTGACATTGTCCAATTTATTCAAAAACAACAATGTCCTCATCAAATCAATGATTCTCAAAAGCACAGATATTAAGATTTGTTAAGAGGAGTTGAATTAAATCAAATTTCGGACAAGAATATTTCCAAAATTTTATTCCTCTCTTCCGATGAAAATAATTAATGGAAAAACGAACAAAAATTTTATAATTAATTATAAAAAATGTTGCGTGATGTATTTACTTCAGAAAAGGGATCAGAGGGAAGCTCATCCACCTCTCGTGGTGGCAATCCACTCTCCGGTACAATTAATTCAACATTTAATAATATAAGACAACAAGAGGATTTTTATTCAAATTATCAACAGCAAGGTGGTTCATCATCGGGTGTTGGTTCTTCGAGTAGTCATGAACAACAACCATTTTCTCCCTTCCAATTATCTTCATCATCACATTTAAATAGTAGAAATAATAACATGTCTGCAGTTGATAGAATCAAAATGCGAGAGAGAAGTGAACGTATTACAAGACACTTGTATCCCGACTCACAAGCCACAGATATGATTAATGAACAAAATTTAAATTCAAGATTTGGAGGAATGAGTCTAGGTGCTGGTCAAAATAATTTACTCAATTCTAATAACATGATGAATATGAGTATGGAAGAGAGTGAAAATTCAAATCTCTTCCTTCAAAATCATTCTATTGATTCATATATTAATTCACTTCAACAACAATTAACAACTATCGGAAATCATATTAATGCTGGAAGTATTGAATTACATCCTCCATATACATTCCTAACCTCTCACACCACAAATCCCTACCTCCAACACCAAGATCATCAATATCAAAATTTGTATGAATTGGCCAGAAAATTCCTCTCCGAACAAAATCAACAACAAACATCCAATACTACCAATACAGAACAAGCCATTTTGGCTTTGGAAGCTCAAGTCATTTTGGAACCTCATCATGCAGATGCTTGGTACCTGTTGGGTCAGTGTCATGCAGAATGTGATGATGATGCAAGAGCCATCTCATGTTATGCTGAGGCTGTCAAGCAAGATCCAAATCACTTGGATGCTCTCGTAGATTTGGGTGTTTCAAATGCCAATGAATTACAAAAACACTTGTCACTCTTTTACTTGAAACGTTGGATTTCTTCACATCCAATTTATGCAAGTATTGTTGGAGATGTATTCAAAGATACAGATATTGGAGACCACTTATCTGCAACAATGGTAGACTTTTATCAAATTTATTCAACTGTCAGACAGGCATTCGAGAAGGTTGTAGAAGAATCCCCAAGTAAGGATGCTAAACTTCATACTGCCCTTGGTGTATTGTATCACTTGGTAAATGATTTTGATAAGGCTATTAATCAATTCAAAATGGCATGTCAATCCGATCCAACCAATCATAGTTTATGGAATAAGCGTGGGTGCAACACACGCCAATGCCAAGAAACCAGAACTGGCAATGAAT